TAGCGCTTTTTATACCTATTTAACTTTTCAAATAAGATCAATACTTCAAGTGCTTTTTGACCTTCATCGTTCATTGTCTATCTACCATCTTTGTTGTTTGCAATACTCCACAATATTCCCTAATAACTGTTCTTTACATGGATTGGTATTTTGAGCCAAATTCCAAAATTTTTGCCTCCTTCCAATACTGTAGTAAGTACTGTTGTTGGCATGTACGTAGAACAACTAACACTGAATGGGTATGTAGTACAAACTTAGTGAATTGTTCCATTCATCTAAATGCTTTTAAGTCAATAAAGTATAGTGTCACAATTTGTGAAAGTAATTTAGAAAAACATACTCTTAATATGTTTTGTCAATGTTTCCATTTATGTAAAACATTGAATAGTGGGAGAGCCGTTTCCCAGTTAGGAAATACTTTTATAACTGAAAATAATAGAGTGACATCTGACTCTGAAAATGAGCATATTCTCTGTCTAGGGATTTCTAGATTTGGCATGTTATTAACTTTTACTTTTTCTTCTTTTGGGCTTATGAGTCATAAATGCATTTCCTAATGATGTGTTGTAAATAAGTATCTTCTGATAATCAGTAGATACAATACCTATTCACTATCTTTTTTCTTTAGGCAGGTTCTACTGAGGAAAATTCTCTAGATAGTTTGTCCATTTATAAAATTAGACACTTGCCATCTTTGCTCATTTTCAAGTTCTCTGTTTACAAAACTATTAAGAAGGTGTGAAATGCAGCCAAACTTCCCAGTTTATGGGGAATGTCTGATGATTACATTTCCTACATGTTCATTGTTCGCACATGAAGAAATTTGGCAGCTGTGAGACTATAAAGTTCAGAGTATCCAAATCTAACCCTCACTGGGATTTTGGTTCCCTGCTTTCTGCCACCACCATCTCACCCCCTTTTGTAACTCTTTTTTGTGGTAAATGCTGTGTTGGCATTTCTTAAGGTTAGTGATCCTTACATTTTCTTGTTTTTTCAATTTATCAGATGCTATGAATAAATCATAGACTAAAAGTTCACCTGATACAGAGTTTTGTCTTCAGGCCATAACATACTTAAACTGTTAAGATTTCTTATGTGTGAAATTCTCAATAAAGAGGTTTTATATTGGTGCCATTATTGGGAGAGGAGGGCAGTAGTGGTAGCTAATCTAAATGTTATAATTATTTCAGAATTACTCTGCCAGAAAGTTATGATCATACATAGAAGAGTTTATAGCTAACTTTGAAAGTAGTAGAAAGTGGTTTTCATGTATTGTTTGGGTTAATTCAATTTTGATTATATTTGGTTTTTAGTTCAGGTAATTTTTTGTTGAAAACTTCAAATGACAGTTTCTTCATGGTTACTAAAGATCACTCGTGGAGTAGTTTCAGTTTTTTTCTGAATACATGTATTACTTTTAGAGATTTAAAGATGTGAAATTACTAAGAGAGAAACCCATGTGCTTTGTTTAGTGGATCAAAAGTCAGTAGCTCCTTTGATCCTAAGTGCTATTGATAGTTAAATAGATACTGAAGTTATGGGCAGGCTGGATTGATAAGAAAAAAGGAGACAGAGAAATGGGAAACTGGGAAAGAACTGTGCAAATAGGAAAAGGAGAGGGCAACAGAACAGAATTAGTTAGTACCACAGTGCCATAAGTGCCACCTCAGGTACTTCCATCTCCCATCTCCTGAAGAATTCAGTAATGGTCAATTTGTGTTGCAAATGGTCAACACAACCATTTAGTGATCCTGTTAGATATTTTCAGTACTTTCTGTGTATTTCTTGTCTGTTTTCAAAATGATGCTGCTGATAGTTTTTATTGCCCTGAAGGTTATTATGAAGTTTAGCATAATTTTATTCAGTAGATTCTTTGAATAAAAGTTCTATGAATGAAAATTCTGGTCATCATTATTTTTGGTGATTATCCTGCAGTGGGAATAGAGAATTTATAATTTTAAACTCTGTCCTTTGTGTTTCATTCACAGGCTGTAGAAGAAGAAGATAAGATGACACCTGAACAGCTGGCAATAAAGAATGTTGGCAAGCAGGTGAGGTATACTGTTAATAAGTTATGCAGTTGCATAATAGCATGTTCTTATAGAGTTAAAACTGTTTTAGGGCCTATATAATTTTTTTCCTGTCTACTCTACATTTTTCTTCTGTCATGTAAATGTCATACTAATTGTAAAGGTCACTAAATTTATTTGATGTCAGGTTCTCTATAGAGAAGTAAATCACAAATACCTATGAGATACTATCTTCAGTGAAAATAATTTGCCAGGAACAAATTAGGACACTTGTGTTCTGAATTAATTTTTCAAGTATTATTTTAATCTACAGATAAATAAGATAATAGAAAAGATAATAGAAGGGTAGATTTATTTCATATATAACAAGTTTTGTTAATTATGTACTTTATCAATATGTAGGTAATATTCCTGAGAACGGTTAGAGCCTTATTGGGTTACACTGAGTGAAGAGAAAGGGCTTTAAGTATTTGCTCTTTCACTTTTCTAAGATGAAATATATATTTTAGTCTCTATTATCTGAGGGTGGGGGAAGACACCAACCAATTAAAGGAATCTACGGATTAATTAGACTGTTTTTTAAAGAATGTCGATTACATTTTTCCCCATTTCATGGAACATGGTTATCATATTGCTGATGTTGGCAGAATCTTGATATTTCAGATGCAAGACACTAAGCTGTCTTTGCTTTCAGCCATCCTACCATATGCTCTGATCCCATCACATCTCACAAGCTATGTAGGTTTGGGCCAGGACCATTCTTGGATGGGAAATCTCTAAGAATCACCCAGCTGCCACAAGAAGTAATGTAGATAACTGAGGGAAGCATGTTACCAATTCACTATAAAATGAATTACTCCAACAGAGCAGTAGGGGCAAAGGTCTGACTTTATCATATGTCATAAATGAGAAAATCAAATTTCACTACCTTCTGAGTATTATAATTTAAAAACAAATACCCCCAAAAAGCAAAATGAAATACAGTTCATTTTGTTTTCTCATCTTATGTGATATCACCCTTGTTATCTTTCCACTACTTATTTTAATCATAATACTAGATCACCAACTTGGAGCCTTATACTTTATAGAATTCAGTAACTGTTTTTTGAATAAATGTCTTTCCAAGGCCATAGTTTCTTGATACAGATTTAAAGCAGCAAATAAAAGGTCTAAATAAAAAATGAAACTGAAAAATATGTAATTGGCAAAGTTTAATAATCATCAGAGTCATTTTTAAAAATATAGTTATTACCTCACTGGTTTGGCCTACTGCGTGGCAAAAGCAAAACTGTCTATAGTGGAATTAAACCAATATCTTTTTTTCTCCTGCCAGTGTTTCTCAGTCTTTTTCACCTAAAATGCCCTGAGACTTATTTCTGAAATAAAAAATATATTGTAGTCTAGTCACTTGAAATTATTTGTAACATGTTGTATCTCTGGGTTGTTTTAAAAAAACAGTGTATTAAAATAAGGGTTAGAAAAGCACGGCCAAGAAATAATTCCAATAATGAGCAAATGAGCATTTGTTTAAAGTTAGGAGTCTTGGGTATTTTAACAATAACCGTAAGAATATAATCCTTTAAATTATAATTTTTCTATTGTGCATAATGTATATTCCTTATTTCAAAACTTTCAAATTTTGCTCAAATACTTAATCCCACCTAAAACATAAATACATACTAAGCATTTTAATTTAAATTCCTTTATTACAATACAATTTTAAGCCTCCTTTTTAACTCAGTCTATTTCAAAAATAGATATGATCGGGTTTAAGTTAAAGGATTGTACCTATATAATTTTCGATGATACATTTTTTCAGAATAGCTACATGAAACATTCTTAACATTTTAGAATTGATCCAAATTGTATTTAAATTCTTCAACTACAAACAGCAACTTTTGATCCAAGAATATTTTCTGAATCATTTAAAGCACTACTCTTGAAAGATTAAGATTGTACAGAATTCTGATTTTTGCTATTATAAAACATAGAAGAAGTGCTGAGAATTCACACTGAACTCTTACCCATTGGTATGTCCGCTTTGAATTAAGCATTCCCTCAGACATTCAAGATATATGAATGGTAGAGAATATACACATACATGCAGACAGGTAGACATATGTAAATGAACTTTAAAAAAAATCAGATGATTGTAAGCTGTATAGAATTCCTTGTTACTCCTTATAAAAATCTCTGGTACAGTCATTGCATTGTGTAAATCAAGCTTTCATTGTGTAATCTATTATTTTATTAGCTACTTAACTTATTGATTTAGAAATTCTAAGAATGTAACAATATACTAGTAAAGTTAAATTGTGAAATATGTAAGTTAGGTCTGGCTTTCTTTACCAGTTTCATCGGCTACTGAAAAAAATTTAAGTAATTTATCTACCAATAATATGGTTCTGTTTTCTTTCTCCTTATTTTTGCTCTTTTAGGACCCCAAACGTCATTTGGAGGAACATGTGGATGTACTTATGACCTCAAATATTGTCCAGTGTTTAGCAGCTATGTTGGATACTGTCGTATTTAAATAAAGCAACGAAAAACGCTATTGATGATGCTTTCAGTGTATATTCCTCTGTTGTTCCTAATGCTCAAAATCAAGGGACCTCTGAAGGTGTACTTGGCTAAATGTAAGACATCTGGCATCATCTGCAGCACCGTAACACCTTCAGTCTCAGTTGTGCAATTACTTCTGTTTCTTTAGTCAGGGTCTTTGCAGATTCTAAAGTTATACATGAGTACATCAAAGTGGACAAATTTTGTTAAGATCCCATTTAATATTTGAAAAAATCAGTAGCACAAATATATTTTGATTGTTACTTACAAAATAAAATACATTTACAGTCTATGCTTCCTGAGGTCTTTTTGGCAATGGGTGGGATTGATGGAATAACGTTTGACAGTGGTCTAGAAATCTCACACAAAGATATGTTTGCCTTTGCATTTTAAGATCTTATAACACATAAAACATCAGTGTGATAACAAAATTTCACAAATGTATAATGATTTCCATTAATGAGTGGCTACCTAATTAGTAACTCAGAAAAAATGTTGACATTTTATTAGCATTTGTCATAAGCTAAATATTGAATACTCGCTCTCTTATAAACATATTATACTTTTAGGATTTTGGAGGAGTACATTTACAAAGAAAAGGGAGCAATTTTAATTTAGACTTTATCATGTTTTAAAAGAGTACATTTCTACCAACAGTTTTGAAACTGGGAACTGGCTACTGCAGACTCTACTGGACTTTTATCTAAAATAACTACAGAAAGTATATAATGTCTAAAAAGCAAAATGAGAAAAGTAGTCATTATGTGAGGTTAATATAAGCTTATAAGCAATAATTTTGTTATTGTTTGGTCTCATCTTTTCTAAATTAGGACTACCCAGTTTTCTAATAGAGAAAAAAAAATGGCTAATACCAACTTCTAATGTGATGTACAAAAGTAACTGCCCCTGTTATTACTTACGGTTCAGAACCATACTGATTATACCAAGGAGTATGGCAAAAGATACAGAGACAAAGATCTAATTCTAGTCTGCACCCTTGCTTGTGAAAATATGGTGAGAGTATTACTAAGGCTTCATTAAAGGAAGGTTTTACATGGGGACTTGGAATTTAACTTAACCTACTAGAACTGTTATGAGTGCTGTGATAGATCAAGTTACTGTCCTACTGGAACAAGTCTAGGCTCTTATTGGTTGCCTAGTGAAGTTACCAGAAACTGAAAGTAGAAATGGCTTAAATTCCCAGTATGTTTCACAATATCTTTTTTGGTGGAGTAAGAAGTATTCTGAGCATTTCTTGCTTGTCCTGTGGTTTATTGTTTCAGATATAGTGACAGTATATTTTATGTAGGACATGTAAAATGTATTGAAGTTGTTGGGATTACATTTAACCATTTAAAATTAAAATATAAGTGGAAGTTAGTGAAGTTTTATTTTGCCTAATTCAAACTTGTGTGCAGGCTTTTTGGATATGATTTTTTCCCTTTACAAATAAGATTCTCTAACTTATTTCGCAGATGTTGTTAATGAGTGCTAGTCAGTGATTTCTGGGGGGCACAGTGCCCTCAGAAGAAGGCCTTAACATTTCAAGAACTATTCTCAATATGTGGGTTGAAAGGGTTTTTTGTTTTTGTTTTCCACTTAGTCCTCTGAAAATATCCTGAATCCTGTGACTGGGAAGGCTTACCTTGCCTGTTTTTGCCCTTATTTGATCACCCCATCTTCCTGGACTCCCTGTAGCCACACACCACTTACTGTCACTTGGTTCATGTTGGTGACATTCCCAATTTCAGAACCTTGTCAAAATCTTTGCTAGCAAAAACCTATATTTTTGTAGATTTGGAGTCGATCAAAATCAAGATGCCCTAAGAGGCGAGGCTCAGTGAACACCTTTGTCTTGGAATGTACAGCTATTTTCACAGCAGCCTGATGTCCCAGGCCCAGTTAGGCATTGAAAAGATGCGTTTAATCACAAACTCAGGAAGCTGTTTAAGACTATGTGTGCGCACACACGTGCACGCATTCAAGCATGCTTATGTGAGCATATCTACTCCTCCACCATGCAGAGGTAAAGCAGCTCTGGAAACAAAACTGTTTGTCTCTAGTGCAGAAATGTCCCTGCTTTTCTCTCAGACTAGTATGGCGGCACTGAAAGCTCTGGCCTCACCATTCAAAGTGTCATCTGCCTGGACCAATAGCATCTGGGTCTTATGGAAATTTGTTATATATACAGAAAGCAAGCCCCACCCCAGGCCTATTGAATCATAATCAAGAATTCTGGTGTGGTTCATATGCACTTTAAGGTTTGAGAAGCCCTGGCCTTTTAGAAGTATGGTTCACAGGCACGTTTGGTGATTCTGAGAAAAGCCTTAATTTTCCTTAGTATATATAAATTCAAGGCATAGCCTATATTTGAGCAGTCACTGAATTTGTTACCTATAATCCAAAGTGGGGTCAGAGAGCACATCAATTCCTTAAAAACTCTGAAGAAGGTGCACTCTTTCCCTTTTCTATCCTTTAACACCTTAACATTTCATTTTAGCATTCTTCCCTTAAAAAAAAAAAAAAAAAAAAAAGCAGTTTAGGGTGTCCAGAATGGCAAAGTCTCAAAAAGAGCCCAGGTGATGTCTCACCTCTTTACACACTTAAGGCTCTGTCCCACTGAGAACGGAGGAAAGTACTGTTTTCCGAAGCAACGGAGGGAGAGGCACTCAGGGACAGAGAAGTTGAAGATGGGAGAAAGACGGAAACGAAAGTAGCCAAAAGTAGTCAAGAGGTCAAAAGCCTCTCATGAGGCAAATGGTGGTAGAAAGTCAAGGGTAGAAAAACAAGTGTCAAATGGCATCCCCTACTCCCCTCCCACGCACCCCAACGACTCAACAGCTAAGACTGCTTGTTTATGAAGCTTCCTGACCAAGAGCTGAGGTTTGCTTTCGAAAGGAAAAATGGGTCTGGCTCTCTTTTTATCCCAGAAAATTGTCTCGGCTTTAGTCTGGGACATCTGGTCATCAACCTGCCCTGTCCAGGCCGCCCGCGCAGGGCCTTGCCCGCGGCGCCCTGATGGAGGCCGCAGCTGGTGCCCTCTGTAGCCAAGGCGCCCAGCCCGCCTCGAGGGGCGCAGTCTCGGCTCAGCGCTGACCGCTCAGCCCACCGAGGGGCCGCTCTGAAAATGCACCACAGTGGCGAAGCGGCGAGTCTGGTTAACCCGTCTCCGCCCATGCTCAGGACCCCACCCAATGTCCCCAAGCGCTGCTCTCACTCTGGGAGCTGCCCCAGGTACGGGAAGGACAGACGCGCTCGCTCGAAGCCAGAAGCTCCCCCGGCTGAGGTGCCCATGCCGCGCCTCCAGCACGGGAAGAGCGTGTGCCCCTGGGATCTGCACCAGACGCAGCTCGACCCGCGCTCCCTCACTCCCCCGGGCGGAGCCCGCCCTCGGGCCGGCCAGCTCTCGGGGCCGAGTGGAGCTCCGGGCGGCGCTCCTCTTGCTCGTTCCCGCGCGGCTCGGCGTCGGACGAAAGCCGCGGGAGGGCAGGTCAGCGAGCGCCGGGCCGCGGGAGGCAGTTTTGGGCAGAAAAAAGCCTCTGCCGCTGTTGGCCCTCTGGCTCAGGCCGAGGGCTGGGCTCCTCTGTAGAGCGGATGCTGAGAGACCTCCTCCCTACACCTCGGGGTCTCTTTGGGCCTCGTGCTATTTATTTGTGCCAACATCCTTTTAAATTGGTTTTTTTCTATTCCTCTTTAGATTCTTTTTCCTTTTAAAATTACTGGCATGGATGCTTTTTCTCCCCTCCAGATTATATAAACATTAAACACACACACACACACACACACACACACACACACACACATACACACACACACACATACACGTTTTCAGTAGCGATTACTGTGTTGACACCACTTCCACTCTGTCTCCCCAGATCAGCGCTTCTGACGAGCCCATTTGCACGGGGACTCGGCCCTCTCTTTTCCTGGCGAAGCTTTTGAACCTGTCGCCAAGCCAGTACCTCAGAGAGAAGGATATGCAGAGGGACGAGAAGGATGCATGGCGCCTACCCCCAGTTAGATGCTCTTCAGATAATCTGCAACCAAGTTCGCTGATAAAATATTTAGTAAAGACCCGGTAAACATCACTGCAAATACATTAAGGCATTTTAGCCCGACAGCTTATGATTATTTCAAAACTTAAAAAGGAGATCATAGATTGTCACTGTTTCTGTGCTCAAACAAGAAACCGAACCTTCCTGAGGTGGGTGGATTGGTGGGTGAGTTGCTGCTTTTCGCCCCCTCTTCTCCCCCCCTTCTGCTTGTCGCTGTGGCTCTCAGCAGCAGGGATTTATTTATTTATGTTTGCAGTTTAAAAGGTGGGGGTGGGGGCGCCGAGGACACGTAGGACCTGCTCACAAAGCACCAGCTCAGGTGTTGTGTGCTTTTGTATTAGCTGGAAAAGACAGACTCTGGAACTTTTACAGGGCGAGAAGAGGCCACCGGCTCGCGCTTTGTATACTTTGCACTTGAAATCGTTACATTCAACTGAATATTTGGCTCATTCAGATCCGAAAAGTCTCCTAGCATCGTCGAATTCCCTCCTCCGCCCCTCCGCTCTAAATGGGGGAAGGGGGGGAAGGTAGGAAATGTTTAGTAAATTGCACATCTTTGAATCTTCCTAAAGCAGTGGTCACAAAGCTTAAAGGTGACACAACAGTGCTCACGTAAACCAACACACATTCCCCACCCCCCAAGCCAACAATAAAATCATCCCCTTCAATTTGCCATGATCGTCGCTACCAGGAGCCAGGTGATTATCCTAATTAATGTCTATCTAATTAAATTACTGTCAGCAGTTAACCAATGGCAGGAGCCGTTTCATCGGCTGCACAAGCAGCAAGATCAAAAGTGAGCCTTTTCTGATTGCTGCATAGTGTCAATTGGCCAATCTCTTCTCCCAGGGAAAAAAAAAGTAAATCAAACCTTTGAGAAGCATTTGCTGGTTGAAGTGCTTTCTGTCTAGTGAGGGGGTCTGTGGATTTCTAGTTTATGATAAATAGGACTTTAAAAACCAGGAACGGGAGGGCGAGTGTTCAGGTTCTAGAGCTATGCAGCTGGAGCACTGCCTTTCTCCTTCTATCATGCTCTCCAAGAAATTTCTCAATGTGAGCAGCAGCTACCCACATTCAGGCGGATCCGAGCTTGTCTTGCACGATCATCCCATTATCTCGACCACTGACAACCTGGAGAGAAGTTCACCTTTGAAAAAAATTACCAGGGGGATGACGAATCAGTCAGATACAGACAATTTTCCTGACTCCAAGGACTCACCAGGGGACGTCCAGAGAAGTAAACTCTCTCCTGTCTTGGACGGGGTCTCTGAGCTTCGTCACAGTTTCGATGGCTCTGCTGCAGATCGCTACCTCCTCTCTCAGTCCAGCCAGCCACAGTCTGCGGCCACTGCTCCCAGTGCCATGTTCCCGTACCCCGGCCAGCACGGACCGGCGCACCCCGCCTTCTCCATCGGCAGCCCCAGCCGCTACATGGCCCACCACCCGGTCATCACCAACGGAGCCTACAACAGCCTCCTGTCCAACTCCTCGCCGCAGGGATACCCCACGGCCGGCTACCCCTACCCACAGCAGTACGGCCACTCCTACCAAGGAGCTCCGTTCTACCAGTTCTCCTCCACCCAGCCGGGGCTGGTGCCCGGCAAAGCACAGGTGTACCTGTGCAACAGGCCTCTTTGGCTGAAATTTCACCGGCACCAAACGGAGATGATCATCACCAAACAGGGAAGGTAATACTACATTTTTGGCTGCCGCTGCTCCAGGCGCAGCCGGGGACAAGTGCACCTAGGTTGTGACTGCCGCGGCAGCGACGATTTGGGGTCGGGAGCGGAGTGGAAGGCGCCCTAGAGTTGGCTGGTTTTGGAAAGGGGGAAAGTGGAAGGGATAACCGCCACGGGGATGTTGGTGGGGGGCACCCCGTTCTAGGTACGTGGTTGGAGAGCCAGTCAGTGGCCAGAGGAAGGCAAGAAAAAGGAAGAGCCCCGGCCAGCGGCTGGGCGATGGGAGGGACGCATCAACACTGGCATGCACGGACAGGTGGAGACGCAGGTCGCCAACCTCTCTCTCCACCTGGGCAGTGATACCTGCCGCCTTCCCACTCCAGCTCACCCGCCGCTCTCCCTGATTTGGGTTGCACTTCTTTTCTTCTCCCATCACCCTTTTTCTAACCCATCAAATATTCGTCCCTATTTGCTGCAAGAACAAGTTTTGCTTTGCTATCTGGCGCCCCGCTTCTTGCATTTAATCTTTAACATTTATGTTTCTTTTTTCCTTGTTTTCTCCCCCCACCCCTTAATTTAAATAGGCGCATGTTTCCTTTTTTAAGTTTTAACATTTCTGGTCTCGATCCCACGGCTCATTACAATATTTTTGTGGATGTGATTTTGGCGGATCCCAATCACTGGAGGTTTCAAGGAGGCAAATGGGTTCCTTGCGGCAAAGCGGACACCAATGTGCAAGGCAAGTCCTTCCAATTAACACATTTTCTTGACACTTATTTAGGTGAGAATGATTAATTAAAGCCTTTGTGGACTGGCTCGAGCGACTTTTAAAACGATCGGCCAATGACTTCTAAAAGGAAACGAGGGGGACAGGGGGACAGACTGAGCTGCGAGAAGGGGGAGGATTATGCAAAAGCTATTTTAATCACCCCCAGTTAATAGGAAGAAAGAACGGCCTAAAAAAGCCCCAGCTAATGGGCTTCACGGTGGAGTAAGGTGTGTGTGTGTGTGTGTGTGTGTGTGTGTGTGTGTGTGTGTCCTACGTGGTGAGGAGCTGGGACTGGGCAGTGCCGGGGGCATATGTAAACAACGTATTTCTTTCTCTAGGAAATCGGGTCTATATGCATCCGGATTCCCCCAATACTGGGGCCCACTGGATGCGCCAAGAAATCTCTTTTGGAAAATTAAAACTTACGAACAACAAAGGAGCTTCAAATAACAATGGGCAGGTCAGTGGCTCAAGCGCTCGTGTTCTCTCTCACCCCTTCCTCCCTGACATCCAGTTCGTCAGTGCAAAGCAGCATATGGAACTGGATACACGTTTCTTTGCTTCATTAAAAAGACTTAAAAATTGGATTTCCACCCTCCAAATTTATGTTAAATTTATGAAGTTGTTCTCATTGACAACACCCCCGTCGGCCCAATTTTGGAGTGCCCGACCTTCCCAAGTACTAATACTGATTGATTTTGAGAAGAAACCCCACAAGATCTGCAGGTTGTGGAAATCTTTGTTCCTCCTTACAGGAGGACTAGGAGAAGGGCCCTGAGGATCGGGCGGTCGGCTTCCCCTTTTTCTCCGGTGCCCCGGCTCATCTTCGCTCCCAGAGGTGCGAAGGCCGGTCTGCCCCAGCCAGTCAGCCGCCAGCCAGGCGAGTCCCGCGGTCAGTTAGCCTGGGAGGCTGGCTGCAGGCTGCCTCCGCCAGTCCGGGCGCGCAGCGGGGCGCACACAGCCACGCGCACAGCGACCGCGTTAACACGCCACCCGGCGCTCCCCTTTCTTTCCGCCGGACAGATGGTGGTTTTACAGTCCTTGCACAAGTACCAGCCCCGTCTGCATGTGGTGGAAGTGAACGAGGACGGCACGGAGGACACCAGCCAGCCCGGCCGCGTGCAGACATTCACCTTCCCTGAGACTCAGTTCATCGCCGTCACCGCCTACCAGAACACGGATGTAAGGAGACCTAGGGGCTGGGCGCGAGGCGGGCGGCACAGACATCTCTCCCACCCTCTCACATCCTCCCGCCGTGCAGGTCTAGGGTACTAGCAGCGCTAACATCAGCAACAGCTGGCTCCGCTGTGCGTTTTAAGGCCTAGGGCTAGGGGCCTGCCCACCGCACCTTTCCTAAACACCAAGCCGGTGGGAAAATGCTTTCTATTTGTTTTCGTCGCGGGTTACCCGGGCCACCTTTGAGGTGGCCAGGATTTCTAAAGACTCTTCTTTTGGGAGTTTTAATTTGGGATTCGAACTAGAACAGATTAAAATCTACTTTTTTTTTTTTTTTAAGTCTCTCTTTCCTTTAGAAAACAAGCAGATTTCCCCGTGCATTTTATTCTTGGCAAGCTTTGGCATCTAAAAAAAAATTTCTCTCTCTCTCTTTTTTTTCCATCTCAGAACTGATGGCTGAAATGAACAAACATCACTGTTCTGGGAGATCAAAAGAACATACACATTCATATATGTGAAAACTACAATAAATCAAATTACTAAGGGCTATGGATTGAGCTTTCTAGCACTTGAACCTCTTCCGATTTTGCAAGTTTGCAAAAACTGATTTTAGTGACTGATTTAACTTCTAGGAGTGATAGGGGTTTTTGTGTTTGTCTTTTTTTTTTTTTACTTAAATGATAATATCAGAAATTAAAACATGTTTTTAAATCCAACCTGATTTTAAGATGCAACTTGTGGTTTCTCAGGTTGTGAGTCAGAAGCGACAAATGTTTTAAAATATAAAATACTTAAAATAGTCAACATTTAGTGATGAATTCAAGTTCTCCTTAAAGATTTTTGTCTGAATAAGTACACTGTGTGTAACAAGCATTTTAAAAATGTGATTTTGAATCAATTTAGAAAAAAACAGGAGAGCTAACTGAAAGCAGTCCTTTAGTTATAGGTATCGTTAATTTAAATATGTTCCTCATAACTTTCATGATACTTCCTTTCCACTCAATCTCTCAAATTTTTCAGTTAGGAAAACCTTGCTATTTAATAAATTGTAGGCCTTAAGCCCCTGTAAAAGTGGCAGATGATATATTCTCAAACACCCAGTCTTCATGTAAAAAAAGTGAGATAACATTCATTTTTTTCTTTGCCAGATTACACAACTGAAAATAGATCACAACCCCTTTGCAAAAGGATTTCGGGATAATTATGACACGTAAGTAATTTTGTATTTTCCTTTTCAAATAGTTGTGGAATTGGGCTTTAGGTCAAAGGTGGATTATTATGTACAAGGATTTTGAAAGCTGGAATGTGTGAAGACAAGGTTGTTTTAGAGGTTTTCCCTTTCTTCTCCTCCTCCTTCTTCTTTTTTTTTTTTTTTTTTTTTTTTTTTTTGTCGTCGTTGTTGTTGTTGGTTCCCCTTCTCTCTGGTGACCTTGTGGCTTGGTACTTGTGTGGTTTTTGGTCAGAGGTTTCCTCCACCTAATTTTAGCTTTCCTGTGGATTACAAAGTTGTGGGGGGCCTCTGGGGCTGGCTGGCTGGCTGGGGAGGCTGCCCCGGTTCCCGGATGCGAGTACTGTATGTGGCGCTGCAGATGCTCAGCTCAGATTGTCTATGTCTGAAACGGGCAATTCTGCCTAAAAGTGCATGTGGCTCCTCTGGCAGTTGTTACCAGTCTCCTTAGCATATGTGACTTTTATTTACCTATTTCCAAGTTTTGTGTAATAGCATTTCCTGTGCAAGTTTACCATGGACTGAATACAAATGTGCAACCACCACAGGCGAGTTCGTGAGCAGAACCACTGTTATGGTCATTTTAGGCTTTTGGAAAGATTCAGACAGTGTTGCTGTGTATTATTTATAAACTTCAAAAGAAAAATATTTTCCTCTTTCTTTTGTATCTAGGTGTGTTTTAATTAAACATGCTGGTGCCCTTTTCTTTAGGCCTCCCTTACCTCCCTCTTTTGTATCAAAAGGCTGTTCTCTGGGGGCAACAGTAGGTGTAAACTGAATGCTTTCTGGGCTTGTTCTGCAATTCTCACTCAGGGTCCATAGTGCCTAAGAGTTCAGATAGTGTTATAAATCTAAATCTGGATTGTGGGGTTCCCCCATGTTTTCTGACCATAAAAGGAAAGGGTACATACATCTTAATTTCATGGCTTACATTGAGCGCCGGAGACAGAGCTAAAAAGTTGAAGCTACCTTTGACTAGCATAGATTAAGTGTGTGGAGAAAGGTACAAGTGACTGCCTCTATTCCATCTCCAAGCGGATACTAACTATCCCTCCTGATATTTTCTAATAATTTAAAAGAGAGTCATTGATATTACTGCCTATAACCACTATATATATTCTTCAAAAGTACTCCAAAGGAAGCAAGTCTCATCAATATGATTCCCCAGAATAAAAACTTGGCTACTCTATTCCTCACAATCTAAAAAGGTGTGCCCAGCACAGTGGAAAGTGTGTGGCCCAAGAGACTAGAGATGTCGGAGGAGAGTCCTGTAGATTTTGAGGTTTTAATTCTGTTGTGAACATCTGTTCAAAAGCATTTTATTTTGCACAAATCAATTCAGCAATCCCAAGTGGGTGGGACCTGGATGGGCATCTAAACTGTATCTTTTGCAGACTGCTTTTTTCTTTTTAAAATATTGTGGTGATAAACAGAGAAGATATTTGCACCTTGCTAGTTATGTTCCCTTCCTGCCTCCCTCTACTTCTCTTATTTGAAACTGGAATTCAATTTCAGGAGGGAAATTTTGTGCACTAAACAGAATGGACCTGAGCCGCCACAGCAAAACTCTCACATGCCCCTCCTCCTCTGGCTGCCTTCTGTTGGAAAAGCCACTCCTCTTTGATGTTAAATCAATTTAAATTTTTCATAAAAACTTCTTTACCTCTACAAACAAAACAAAACAAAACAAAAAAACACCTGATATCTTTAGGGGATAGGGAAGAGTTGACTGGTTTATGACACTCTTCCTTTCCCCTTTTACGTTGGTTACTTGGGCATGGCTCAATTTTGGAGAAAGAGGGAGAAGTATAAGGGTTCATGGGGTACTAGGAGCTTGCTTGGCCACTCACCAGGGAATCTCCTCCCTGAAGGATTAAGGTCTGACAAGACTGAGGTTCTCCTTCAAAACAGTCTGTTGACTAAAGATTAAAACATTTATGTGTGAGCTAAATAAAAAGGGAGGCATGTGTGCATGTGTATGAGAAAACACTTCTACCAATCTTCATCCAACCCTTGCTTTCCTCTCAATTCTAATGTGATTTTCTAGGCCCAGGGCCTAAAGTTAATCTTTGATTATTTTATCTAAGGTAATTCCCAACAACACAATCACTGTCGGTGGTTGGGCAAGTTATTTAACGTCCTTTTGCCTCAATTTCCTCATCAGTAAAGTGGGATAATAAAAGTTACCTAGTTCGCAATGCCTGGCATATAGTCAAGCTTCGTAAAGGTTAGCTATTATTAGTGGTCCACTGCACGGAGTAGGCTGGTAAGTGCACAGTAGGTGTGCACCGTAGGTTTGCCCCGAAGTTTCTGCCGTAATGGACCAAAAGCTAGGAAAAGCAGGTCAGAGTAAAGAACACCTTTTGTTTTAAGAGAATATTTCTGATTGATGACTATTGTTTCTGAGTAGTAATTCTTGTTTGTATTAATAGACGTGGGAGTGAAAGTTTCACATAGGGGAAACAATAGATACCAAGTACCTTGCAGGCTTCCAGCAGCAAAACTCGAGTTCCAGAACACGGGTGAAGAGTCTTTGATGATTTCTGCGTGCGCGGCTTTTCCCTAGGGGTTTCTGAAACTATCTAGAAAAAGGAGAGAAATGACCTGAACAATCAAATGGACATAGGTCTTAAAAGGGTGGAGGAGTGAGTACCTTGTTTAGAAATTTCACCCAGAAACTCTGACCGCAGAGGAAAGGCCCAATGGGCAAAGAGCATCTTAGTCCCTAGGTAAATCTGCCTTAATGTGCACACAAATGTTGGAGAAGTGAGATGAAAGCCCTTGCTTGTGCCCCTCTCTCAGTACCCCAGTATACTTGACGAGAGCAAGAGAAGAGGGAAGTCGTTCCCTTGATGGTCTGCATCTTGCTCAGGTCCCTGCATAGACAGATTGGCTCCTTCATAATACCATGATTTATTTTGGGAATGATAGAGGTCTGTGGCCTCTTGTATTCTCCAGGAAATTCTGGACTGCAAGTTTGTAGATGGAGGGTGTGGGGGTGGGCGAAAAGTGGAGGTGGCCTTCCCTTCTGCCCCCACCCCCACCCCAAGGGACCTCCGCGCCACCCCTCGGCTCTCTCTCTCTCTCTCTCCCTACCCCGCAGGATCTACACCGGCTGTGACATGGACCGCCTGACCCCCTCGCCCAACGACTCGCCGCGCTCGCAGATCGTGCCCGGGGCCCGCTACGCCATGGCCGGCTCTTTCCTGCAGGACCAGTTCGTGAGCAACTACGCCAAGGCCCGCTTCCACCCGGGCGCGGGCGCGGGCCCCGGGCCGGGTACAGACCGCAGCGTGCCACACACCAACGGGCTGCTGTCGCCGCAGCAGGCCGAGGACCCGGGCGCGCCCTCGCCGCAGCGCTGGTTTGTGACGCCGGCCAACAACCGGCTGGACTTCGCGGCCTCGGCCTACGACACGGCCACGGACTTCGCGGGCAACGCGGCCACGCTGCTCTCCTACGCGGCGGCGGGCGTGAAGGCGCTGCCGTTGCAGGCTGCAGGCTGCACTGGCCGCCCGCTTGGCTACTACGCCGACCCGTCGGGCTGGGGCGCCCGCAGCCCCCCGCAGTACTGCGGCACCAAGTCGGGCTCCGTGCTGCCCTGCTGGCCCAACAGCGCCGCGGCCGCCGCGCGCATGGCCGGCGCCAACCCCTACCTGGGCGAGGAGGCCGAGGGCCTGGCCGCCGAGCGCTCGCCGCTGCCGCCCGGCGCCGCCGAGGACGCCAAGCCCAAGGACCTGTCCGATTCCAGCTGGATCGAGACGCCCTCCTCGATCAAGTCCATCGACTCGAGCGACTCGGGGATTTACGAGCAGGCCAAGCGGAGGCGGATCTCGCCGGCCGACACGCCCGTGTCCGAGAGCTCGTCCCCGCTCAAGAGCGAGGTGCTGGCCCAGCGGGACTGCGAGAAGAACTGCGCCAAGGACATTAGCGGCTACTATGGCTTCTACTCGCACAGCTAGGCCGTCCCTGCCCGCCCCGGCCCCGCCGCGGCCCGGACCCCCAGCCAGCCCCACACAGCTCTTCCCCAGCTCCGCCACCCCATACTCCTCCTTGCGCACCCCCTCATTTTATTTGACCCTCGATGGCCGTCTGCAGCGAATAAGTGCAGGTCTCCGAGCGTGATTTTAACCTTTTTTTGCACAGCAGTCTCTGCAATTAGCGCACCGACCTTCAACTTTGCTGTAAACCTTTTGGTTTTCCTACTTACTCTCCTTCTGTGGAGTTATCCTCCTACAATCCTCTTCCCCCTCGCCTTTCTCTTACCTCCTACTTCTCTTTCTTGTAATGAAACTCTTCACCTTTAGGAGACCTGGGCAGTCCTGTCAGGCAGCAGCGATTCCGACCCGCCAAGTCTCGGCCTCCACATTAACCATAGGATGTTGACTCTAGAACCTGGACCCACCCAGCGCGTCCTTTCTTATCCCCGAGTGGATGGATGGATGGATGGATGGTAGGGATGTTAATAATTTTAGTGGAACAAAGCCTGTGAAATGATTGTACATAGTGTTAATTTATTGTAACGAATGGCTAGTTTTTATTCTCGTCAAGGCACAAAACCAGTTCATGCTTAACCTTTATTTCCTTTTCTTTCTTTGCTTTTCTTTCTCTCCTCTCTCATACTTTCTCTTCTCTCTCTCTTTTAATTTTCTTGTGAGATAATATTCTAAGAGGCTCTAGAAACATGAAATACTCAACAGTGATGGGTTTCCCACTTCTCCTCAATCCGTTGCATGAAATAATTACTATGTGCCCTAATGCACACAAATAGCTAAGGAGAATCCACCCAAACACCTTTAAAGGATAGGTGTCTGTTCATAGGCAAGTCGATTAAGTGGCATGATGCCTGCAAAGCAAAGTCAACTGGAGTTGTATGTTCCCCCCCTTCCTTCTAAATAGAATAGCTCGACATCAGCAATATTATTTTGCCTTATTTGTTTTTCCCCAAAGTGCCAAATCCATTACTGGTCTGTGCAGGTGCCAAATATGCTGACAAACTGTTTCTGAATATCTTTCAGTACCCCCTCCACCTTTATATGCTGTAAATCTTTGTAATGAATACTCTATTAATGATATAGATGACTGAATTGTTGGTAACTATAGTGTAGTCTAGTGAAGATGAATTGTGTGAGTTGTATATTTTACTGCATTTTAGTTTTGAAAATGACTTCCCCACCACCTAGAAAGAGCTGAAATTTGACTTCCTTGGGAGAACACTAGCATTAATGCAAGTAAGACTGATCTTCCCCTAAGTCTTGTTATATTTGATAAGGAGCATTAATCCCCCTGGAAATAGATTAGTAGGATTTCTAATGTTGTGTAGCAAACCTATACTCTTTTGTATTTAAAAATTAATGTGAAATATGCATCATACACAATATTCAATCTAGATTCCAGTCCATGGGGGGATTTTTTCCTAATAGGAATTCAGGGTCTAAACGTGTGTATATTTTGGCTCTTCTGTAAATCTAATGTTGTGATTTTTATATTTGTTTCGTTTTGTCTGTGAACTGAATAATTTATACAAGAACACACTCCATTGAGAAACGTTTTGTTTTTTGCTCGTTTGTATTGTCTGTGTATAACAAGTAAAATAAACCTGGTAAAAACACTAACTATGGTGTTTGAAAGCAGTTTACAGTTTGAAAATAATTTAATTATTATAGGTGATGATATTTAAGGGTTAAGGAAGACTAGCCCGTCCCCAGTCCAATATGGGCAGCCTGTGTAATGGAAGCCACCTCCCATTCCCCCATTAAATTTGTTTTATAGTACTTCCAGGAACTACTTTTTTCTTCTTATTTATAATTATTTGGCTACCTATGAGCCAAATTTCACTTTTCTGTGCTTATTTTCTTTTTTCAGGAAAACATATGCACTTTTCTCATCATATTTATCTGATTCTCTCTGAAGTTGGAAGTAATGCGAACAGGAAAAGGAGGTTCTTTAAATAAGGAGTTAAGAATTTCTTTAAATTTCACAGAGTAAGGCGGGAGGCGTTGGCTGAAAGTAGGGTGTAATTTAAATGCATGTCAAAATAGGATGTTGACCGCAGATTTAGTAAATTCTGGTTGTACATACGAGGCCTTGGAGGTGAGTGGCGAATCTGTAAACGCAGACACAGAACAGCCTACGTTTCTCGAGTGGATGGTTTCCGAAGATTGGGCAGGGGTAGGATGGCGAAAGACCCGTAGAACAAACTCGCGAAAGGGCCGTTTTTTAACCACTGAACTTAGAACTGCTTCTGGGAGGTATCTGGGGTGGGGGTAGGGACACTGCTCTGTCCCTTCTGTAGTGGAATCTTATGCCAGTCCTATCCAGGCCAGATCCACACCTGGGGAACAAATGTAGAAATGCGAAATTCCAACCTGGAGGGCGCTGCGTCTTAGTGGAGCCCGCAGAACTGTTTACCTCGTGGAGAAGAGACTTTTGTACTTTTGTCTCCAAAGAAAGGTGATCCAGGCAAGAGGCGGAAAATGGTTAGATATTCTTGCTTTGTCTGGGCCAGCCTCAGGTTACAGAACTAAATTTACCTTTACCTAGACATTGTCCTGTGTCCTCTCTGCAGTTTGACGGATGTAAAGAGGCCTCAAATTTCTAATTAAAATGAAAATTCGTGGGAGGATAAAACTAACTTGCCTTCCCTGGACAATTCCACCACTAGACGGCGTTCCGTGGAGTTTTGTCTGCCACATAGAAAAGCGAGGACTGAATTTCCTTTGTGTTTCTTTTCCCTCCTCACATCTAAGAACTAAGTAAGAGGACAAAAGTACAAGACACAGTGCATGTGTGGCGACTGAAGTGGAGCAGTGCATTTGTGTCATCACCCACTCGACCCTGGCTGCGCTCCTCCGACCCCGCCGCCCACTCCTGCCGAGGAGGAGGAGCACGTGCGGTCGGTGGGGCGCAGGGCCGGGGAGCCAGCGGGATGCCGGGGCTCTAGGCCGCGGGGCCGCGGGGGCCGCCCTCTGCTCTCCGCCCAGGCCGGGTCGCGGGAGCGCCGGAGCTCGGGAGCCCAGGAGCCCGGAAACCCGGCGCTGCCCGGCCCTGCCCGCCGCCCTCTGGACAATCACCTTGAGCAAAAGAGTCGGTGTCATGTGCGTAAACGAAGCTCTTAGGAGCCGAGGATAGATTTCACAGGAACGTAGTGCCTTGTTCTGAAAGACGCGCTTTGGTTGATATTAGGAAGTATTTTTAAAAAATTGGGGAGGTCGTTTCCCTTGCAGCTCTGCCACCATCTGCTGTGTGGACTGAGTCAGCGTGAGGTAAATTTGCAGCTTCGCGCTCCTCTCGGAGGCATTGTGATTTCTTGTCCCTTTAAAACATGATCATTTCTCCTCGCTTCCAAAAAGTCTTGGGTGTCTGGTGAAATGACACTGTCAGTGCGTCTGAGAGGCTACTGCTGTTCCAAGGAAATCAAAGTCTAGATTTGGGAGGCCGTTTGGGAATCAAAGTTCGCGTCCCCTGTTAGAGTTGCCTTTTCTCTCCTGAGACAGCCTGAGAGGAACGACGATTCCTTTCCGTAAACCCAGATTTCCTCAGTTTTTAACAGTGTATTTTCAAAAAGAGGTAGAAAGACGACGAACGTGCGGCTAGCACTGTATTCTGGCTCGTGCCTTCCCGCCACTCGCAATCCGCGCCATCTTAACTAATTTTCAATGTCCCTCGGGGCTGAGCGTGCAGGCGGCGGGTGCTGCTCGGGCCAGGAGATGCTGCGGCCTGGGTTCTCAACCTTCTGGTTGGACGCCGCCCGTCGGGGTAGACAGAGGCGGGAACAAAGCGCGCTGCGGCGGTGGGAGGCAGGCTGGTCTTGCCCCCACAGGCGAGGTTGCAGCTTGGCCCTGGTGCACCCGAGCCCAGAGCAGCGGGGACGGGCGTCCGGAGAGCTCGCCCGGGTGCGGGGTGGCTCCTGTGGCCTGGGCCGGGGCTTTCCTGCTTTGCCGTCGGGCCGGCAGCGGCGCCCGGGGCTGTCCCAGTCAGGGATCCAGGTCAGAGGTCCAGGCTGAGAAGCAGGCTGTGGGGCGAGACTGGAAGTCCAGGCCTAACTCAGGCCGCGGGTCTCAGCCCGAGTCCAGGCAGTTCTCTGAGTACCCCCGACCGCAGCATGGGTTGAGAAGGGCCGCGGCCTGGGCCCTGGCCTAAGCGCGCAGCCTCTCTCCGCTGCTCTTTCAGAGCCAGGCCTGGCAGCCGAATAGGATTTAGGGCGTGGACTTCTGTTTCGGACTACCAGAAACTTACTTAACAGTTTGTTTCAAAAATCAGGTTGTTTCTATCTTTTTAGGACCGACTTACATCACTGGAGCTTTTAAATTGTAGCAATTTAGAGTCTATAGATAACTTTCTGAACCTCTTATCCCCTGCAGTTAACCTTTTCATATAAATATCACTGCTACAACTCTTTGTGACCCACCTTTTTTGGGGGTGATATTGAGTATTTATATTTTTAGCACTGAAGCTTTAAAGGATGCTCTGCTTTCTGCTTAAGATGCAGGTTTGGAACAAAAGCTTCGTTGAACAGAGACCGTTTCTATTCCCAGAGTTTAAAATGCTTCATAGGTATTTGGACAACATATGTGTTCATGAGTGATTTTTATAAGATGTTCAGCCTGTTCTATCTAGTGCAGCACCTTTTGTGTGTGTATTTGAGTTACTTTGTCATATAGGCATTTTGGCCATGAGACGAGGGAAAAAACGTAGAACCCATGCTCTTGTATGAAAACAAACCTATGTAGACTCCCGTGAAAGAAACAGCAACAATTATTATTTTTAGACAAATGTACTTATGAAGTAGTCAGCAACTTTAAAGGTAGTGATCAATTTTAAACATATTTAATTGACCCTGGTATGTTGGTGATTGCTTGGCTAATTTTGATGTTTAAAAGAGTAATATTTTAGCCTAATATCAGTAAAATCAGTTTTTAAAAAAGTAACTGATACTTTTTAAGGAAGTTGAATGTATGTGATTTATTGAAGTTATAGTCTGAGTGCAACAAGATTTACTTTTGGACAGTCGGGTTTTCTTTTACCAGAACAAAATAAGAGTCTCTCAGAGAAGACTAGGCAAAATTTTAGGCATTGCATTATATTTGGTTTAATTCAGTTGCTCTGAGATTTGTGTGTTTTCCTGGTTCCCGTCCTCAGTTTGTATGTTAGGTTGCCACACACATTAAAAAATATATTCACTTGAAAGAAAACCCCATTGCTTTCACAATAAAGTAAACTTGATGGTGTACAAGTCACTGGTCTCATCTGAGCTGATTATATCTTCCTTGCGTGTATTTTACACCCACAGTATGGTTTGCAGTGGTGTTCAAGGCATGGCGTGAAAAATTTGATTTGAATAGTTCTATTAAAGCAATGAAAAAAAAAAAACATGGCTTAATAGACCTTCTAGTGATAGCTCCCCCTCTTACTATGCTAACTCTGAAATAAATATGTAATCTAGTATTAGGAACATGGCATTTAGAAGACCCTTGCTGGTAATATTTAATTTAATAAACATACTAACTGTGACATTATTAATGCAATGAGGCTTGTACTATAAGCTGATTCTTACAGGTTGTTTGACCTATTACTTATCACTAGATTCCTTATAAACATATCCTGCAATTTAGAACTTGAATTGTGTATTAAAATTATTTTGAATTCAAATCCTTAAAAATATCAGCATGACAGGGCACTCATTTTATATACAAAGTATTTATACTTGGGTACCCGGGCATGCCTTTTATGAGAAGGAAGAGGGAATTTAGGAGGGGAGGGTGTCTCTAGGGATATGTGTCTGGTTGTTTTAGTCAATATAGTTATTTTGTTCCAACACTAGTAGAAAAAAGAAAGAATATAAGTTTAAATTTTGGAGCAAGAGTTGACTCTATATTTTGATGGTTACTAAGTTTTAAGAAATGGTAAATTAATTAAACTTTCTGGTTGACAAAGAAAGCAAATCGTGCTTATATTAGGTTAAGTGCTTATATTAGGTTTCTTTAGCTTTAGATTTCATACGTGTCTTCATGTTAGCAAAAGGGTACTATGTGGGAAAAAGCCTTTACATTACAGTCTTATCTTATTTCAGGTGTCTAAAAAAAGAAAAAAGCCAACAATGTTGTTCTCAAACCACAGGGTCTTCCTAGCTCACATTTAAACTTTCAAGATGTATTTGTCATTTATTTTGCCATTCCTAGTATGAGAGGGAAGGCATTTTTCAATCTTAGGAAAATTCAGAAGCAATTTTTTGGTTCTCAGTTAATTCAGTTTCATCTTAAAAGTTCAAATTTAGCAAAGCACATGTTCCCTTGTTCATGCCAAGTGTGATAAAAACTAGTCGAAAAATAAAACCATTGCAAACAAGTAGAGCACTGCATTTCACTGCACACTATACAGGCCACATCATTTCTAGGACTGATGTCACTGCCTGCTGGGTTGCCATTTGTGGGCACACGTAAGTCTGCCTTTGAAGGCTAATAGAAGGCATTAGTACTTCAGATACATATGTGTGTTTGAATCATGCATGTGTTTTAAATATCCTCTTTGAGTTGTGATATGCACACCCGTGAACGTTCAAACATTTGCCATCTTTTATCAACAAAAGGTTATTCTTTGTAGAACTCCAGGATGTTGTTATTTTCTCCCTGTGCACTAGGAGATAATACTTTCTTTGTATTTAAAATATGAATTTGCAAAATCACTTTTACCCCTTTGTAATGTAGTCAAATTATAGGCTATTATGTGGAGTTACAATTACTTAAATTACTTTAATCTTTGTGTTGACAATATTAAGCTGTCACATATGTTTTTTTAGTTCAACATCCTTGACCTTAATGAATAAAATACATGTTATGCAGATTCAGGTTAGGCCATAACAATCAATACGGACATTTTACGAGAACTTTTCAGTTGTCATATAGTTTTCTATTATTTTGAATGGCTTGCTCAATTGAGAATTTACTGAAGGCCAAAGTATTGCTCCTAATTAAATATGTTTCAAAAGGTGGCTAGTACTTTTATAACCGAATGTGTTTTTGAATTGCAAAATTATAATTTCAGAGATAATTTTTACCAAATAATAGCAACGTTTACTACTTAGCACCTTTCTTTGAGAAAATAGAAACTATAATGAGGACTTATCCTTTCACAGTTTACTTACCATTTAACGCTATATATTTTGTTCAAATAAAATCTTTTTTTTTTCCTACCTCTGCCTTAATTTGCTATTTGTTAAAATGACTGTGTTCTTAATAATTCTTAGAGTTCACTCACCTTTGGGATTCACTCTTTTAATTTATGCTTTCATTCTGCTTTGTTCCTGTGGAGAAAGGCAAAGAAATATACTGACTTCCTTCTCAACAAATTTGTTCTTTCCTCCTCCAACTCTGCTCTCTCTGACACTCATTTTGCCCTTGTTGACTCTCTTGCCAACAACTTTTTTTTGTAACCTACTCTTTTTTTTTTCTCACGCTACCACCCTGAACTTGAATCTTTATAAAATCTATGCTTGATTCATCAGTGTGTTTATTTCAGGTCAGAACTTTTCTATTTCCCCAAAAGCAATTGGGGGAAAAAAGCAATGTTTTGGGGACAAACATTGGGTAGAATATGTTTTCCTGTTTCACCTCCTCACATTATTATACTTTTTTCCTATGAACTTCTATATTACTTCATCTCTTGATAGTCACTTCTCCATTATCTTGTTTCTTTTTTGTATTTGTGAAATGACAACTTGATATTTTTTGTGTCTTATTGGTATTTCTGTTCTCTTCTTTACACATAACACTCTTAGCTAGGTGAGGCACTGCATTTATCCCTGCTCGCTTTTGTTGTACTTAGGACCCATATTTCAATACTTTCTTTGATCCTTTTCAATTTAGCTTTCTCATTTGCACGGACATTACAATCTTTCTTACTAAGTTCACCAGTGTCCTTTTAATGAAATGTAATGGCCTTATTACAGGCTAATCTTTATTCTTTTAGCTATTTAAAATCATAATTAGCCCTTTGGGTAATTGAGAATCACAGATTCTGCAACTCCTTCACTTTTCCCTTCCTTCTTCCAGCTTTTCTTTCATGGTTCTCACTTTTTGCTCGCTCATTCATTCATTCATTTATTTTACAGGTTTCCATAGCGTTTGCTTTTCACAGGGTATGTCCTCATATGGCTCTCCTAAGAAAACTTGCCAGACATGTGACATGTGATATGGAAGAATAAGGTGGAGGAAAGAAGATCTGCTAATGTTTTTCTTAATAGTCTTTTCAACCCATTTTCTAACAGCCTTCCCCTACTCCATGGTTTCTTATTTCTTGTAGCCTAATACATTTTAATTGACATTCTGGATTGTCCTTCCTTGAACCATCTGATACCAATTCACTTTCTCTGTACTCTTCACCTAAGTTTATCATGATAAAGATTAAGAGGAATTTTTTCAAAAGCTAAGTTTTCTTAGTTAATATTAATTTAACCCCTTGAGAAGATTGCAATATGAAGTGTACATGCCACTATTCAATAGGAAGGGTTTCTACAATTATCTGCACTATATCTTATTAAGTAAATACATCACTATCAGCCCTTTCTCAACATAGCCACAAAAAAATAAGGTACAAAACCTAAGAGATTCAGGCCTTGCAGATCATGAGAAACAGTTTTACTTGCATTACCACTTCTTTAGGAAACTCTGTTCCTGAGTTTAAACTTTAAAGTAACACACATTTTATTTTAAATTCTTTTTGCTTTAGGGTCATATTTCAAAATATAAATTGGGTGTGTGAGTGTGTCTGGTGTGTATGTATAGCAGCCTGATGAGTCTGGAGAAAAAGAACATAAAATCAAGAAAAGCAAATAGGGGATTTTTGACACTCCTTGCATTTTGCTGCTCTAGGTGCTGTCATGACTGCGTGCTCTTTGAGGATCTCCTGTTGGAGTCCGAAGTGCTCTTTTAATAATCTCATATTTGTGTAAATAAGTATCTACTTCCTAACATTAGGATCAAGAGTCTTTAAATTTATTATTACTTAATTTGCACATAGTACAATTTACATTTGAGTAAGAAGTTGGTAAAAATGCCATGTCAAAAAAGTGTTTATATAACTGAAAATTTGTAATTGGTGTCATGGAAATTTAGTATGTAAGATATCATATTAAATTAGTTTTGAAAATACAGATTTCAAAGAAACTTGATTCCTATGGTACAGTAGAAAACTACGGGCACAAGTAAGAGGCTTTTCTTTTTTTTTATGATTTCCACTATCCTCATTTGTAAAATGAAATTATAATTAATCTTTCAAATACCTTCCAGACTTAAACGCCATGGGTTTTGTGGACTTCTGACTCCCTATGCAGTTTGAGTTCAAATGTTCTGAGCTAGGGTAGAACTACCTCTAGAGCAGTGGCTTTCAAAATTTTTAAACTGGGACTCACAGTAATAAACGTACGTACATGCCCACAAACAAAAGTTTCACAAAATAATGTTTACCCTGTGTCACATTTGATATACTCTGATATTTTTCTTTTGTGTTTAATTTCCTTGAAAAGAAAATTCTGGTTATGACCTAGTAAATTTATTTCATGATTTTCTAATATATAGAGACTTGAAGTTTGAAAAACATTGCCGTAATGATACTGTTAATTTAACTAGCCTAGAATGTTCTGTTGCCTTGTAGGTCTCTACACACACATTTTGATATTGCATTTCTAGAATGGTAAACTATACATGTTAGCAACCGTGGGAATCACTTTTTATGTAATAACACACTTAAGTGTATGGCATACAGTGTGATTGGGAGTAAAGATGGAGAAACTGTTCTTTACAATATTCCATGATGATCTGCAGGGGTTTTTTGCTTGTTTTTTAAAATCATTAAGGCATTTCTCTTTAAGATTGCTTTATTTTATTTAGGACTTTATCTTATCTTTATGTTTCTTTTTTTCGCAGTTCATATTTTTCTCCCCTTTCTCTTTCTCTCCCTGCCTCCCACCATGCACACGCGCGCACACACACACACACGTACACACACATACTTCCTCCAAACATACTGATTTATTGAAAATCAAGGTGACTTCTGGTCTTGGAGATAAGCAGGCCCACACTTGTTGGTGTGGTTCTTTACATGAACTGCCTCCTTCCCTTTCCTGACACTAAGGCACAGCTGAGTGGAGGGAAGACAATAGCAGTGACTTCTCCCATCCTCTAGGTCATTGGCTTCACATTAGAAGCACCAGGGGAGTTTAAAAAATTATCATTCCCAGATTCACACCCCATCCCAAATAAATCAGAATGTGAATATCTTGTGTTGAAATACACATATCTATATTTTTTAAAGATTCTTAAGTGATTCCAGTGTGCTGCAAAGTCTGCGATGCAAAGTCTGGGAGACACTCTAGGTTTTTTGTTTGTTTTTATAATGAAACAGTAGTGTGTGTGTG